GGGAAAGAATTAAGTACTTTTAAAATTATACTTCATAATTAAAAAATTATCTTTATAAAAAATAAACTGATGAAAGCTTTTAATCAAATGATTCTAGATAGTAAATATGGGAGGGATGGTAGAGTTTGAAAAATCTCTGCTTTAGAACTTTCATAAAATAAGTGATTAGGACCTCATTAAAAACTGAACCCATTAAATGGAAATGGGGAAATTTGCAAGCCAGGTGCGCCCAGCCTTCCCTGGTGATGAATGTGCATCATGAGAGGTCGCAGATACTGCACGCTGCCATGCGCCGGGGAACACGTGTGCTGCAAGTGTTAAATACCTCATGGGGACTCTAGTCAAGCTTTAGAACTGCCCGCCCATTAAAATGAAGCACAGGAAAACAAGCAATTTGAATTACACCCCAGTATTCAGAAGGTGGACTATTTTGCAAGCTAACTGACTCACTTTAATAGACAAATTAATAGCATATAGCAAAGGAAGGCAGAAAGAGTGTTCTATATTAAAAAGGTACTGTACATAGCAACTTTGTAACCTTAGTATGGATCCTAATTTCTGTGCTACAATTAAAACAGATTTTGAGACAATCAGGGAAATTTAAAAATGTGTTGGGCCATATCTGACGCAATCTGATTTTTATTGTTGGAAAAACTAATGGCCTTATGGTTATCTTTTGGGTCTGGGCCTGGGATTTGCTTTACAACAGCCAAGGAATAATAAGAAAAGACCACAAACTGGAAATGGGTGACGCAGGTGCAGGCAGTGCGGGCAGTTGCTGGATGCAGGCGGTGGCTACGTCCCCCTCACGCTGCGTTGGTCTCACGCTGCACTGGGGGGCAGGCGCCTCTTCGCTGTGAACAGGGAAATACGAGACCAACACAGCAGTCTTCCGGTGTCCTGAGGAGAGCAGTCATCTGCTCTGGGAGCAGAGGCGGCTGGTGAGGAAGAGGGAGACAAAGCGTGGAGAGGAAACATTGGAGGATGGCAAATATTTTTATTATTTTAAAACAGGACCTCACTAAGTTGCCTGGGCCAGACGTGAATTCACACTCCCTTGCATCAGCTCCCAGAGTGCTGGGATCACAGGTGTGCACCACCTGGCATGGCTGAGTGTTTATTCTCTAACAACTTGTAGTCCTTGGGTAGCATCCAAAGCCAAGGCAGTGATGACAGGAACTGGCCCTCTGTGTGCACACTGGCAGATCGATCTTTTTTCTGTCCAGAATAACCAATATTGTAATATCCCTGTGCCGACTGTTTAATTTTCCTTGTCAGTCTGTGAACTGCCTAGCATTTCAATACTTCTCCGACTTCAACAACATTATTGAAGCTAATTGATCTTCAGTCACTAGCACATTCTAGATGGTGCCCTCTGATAAAATTTGAATGTGTTTACCTTTATGGGTCCATCAGCACAGCAAGCTAGTGAACATTCTCCTCAACCCCCAGAGTTTGCTTGACACTTTGGAGTCCTCTTGTCTCCCCGACCCCCAGGCAACCAGTGATTTCCTTTTTATCAGTATAGATTAGTTGGCATTTTCGACAGTTCTATATGCCAAGAGAACACAGCTGAGTGCTCACCTGTTGGGATGGCTGCCTTCCCAACATAATTATTGTAACATTAATCTACTCTCTGACTTGCATCGAGAGTCGGACCCTTTACTGTTAAGTGGTGTGTGACCTCTTATACAGGTACACCAGTTTTATTCTATCAGTCATTGAAGGCCATCTGAAGGGCCTTTTATTCATTCAGTCATTGGAAGACATTAAGATTACTTTGTTGGGGGCTTCTAAATTGACATGCTGTAAACATTTGCTTTTATTTCTCTTGAGCAAATACCTAGCAGCAACAGAGCTGGATCATATGATGGGCACATTTAATTTATTAATTAATTGCCATAATGTTTTCAAATATGGTATACAGTAAATGTTTTTTATAGTATAGAATCAAGATCTTATGTGTATTCAGTATGCATCTATGGACTTCAGTATAGTTATGTAAGATGTCTCTTATTTGTAGTTTTATCAATAGCAAAGAGATTTTACTTTCAGCAAGTAGGACTGCCAAGCCATTGATGACCCAAAGTGCATCAAAGCTTCATGACTATTTCTCCTAACAAAACATAAATCAGAAATAAAATCAGTAGTTGAGAAATCAAGATGTGAAAATCAAATGAGGGAAGTGGTTAATGCCCAAAAGAGACAACTTGTGTGCTGATATTCTATAAAGTTACTATATTATATAAAAATTTATTTTCTTTACTTCATAATAGCCAAATGAGAAGGGGAATATAATTATTTATAAGATGCCGTTTTTGCACAGTGTTAGCTTTCTGTCTGACAACTAAATGCTGACGTGAACTGACTTCATGAAGAGGAAGGTTTAGTGCTGCTGAAGGTTCACAAGCCTGTGGGAGCAGGAGTTATTGGTTTGGTTTGTGGTTGGGGCCCTGGATGGTGGTGCATCATAGTGAAAGCGGGTGTGGACAAAAGTAGTCATATCTCAAAAAGGAAGAGAGAAAGTAGGCGGGGCCAGTGCTGCTCCTCTTGTAACAATCCTCTTGCAGTTTCAGGAGAACCACCTCGGGCCCTACTGACCTAAGACTTTCTCAGTAGGCTTCGCCTTCCAGTGGTTTCGCCATCTCCCATCAGTGCCAGGCTGGAGACCACTCCTTTAATTACAGTGGAAGGGACATTTAGGCCATGCCCAAACCAGAGCAGTGTCTTACAGTAAAAACATTTGTTGCCAAACTGAAGCAAAGATAGTGCTAACATGCCTTTCATTGGTCTTTGAAATGAGAATTTGTGAAGTAGAAGTAAAAGAACCTGCTGCTGCTTCTCTGTAATTCATAAGATCCATAAAGAGCCCAAAGGATATCAGTAGGATGATGTAAGCTGGTAAGGCTACATTTCTTCCATCTTTGGCATCATAGTAAGACAGTATAATTGAAATAAGTTTGTTTGCTTGTTTGTTCGTTTATTTATTTATTTGGTACAGGGTCTTGCTACACAGTTCAAGACTCGTAGTGATCCTCCTGTCTTAGCCTCCCCAGCGGTGGGATTACAGGCATGTGCTACCATGCCTAGTTTTGGTGACCAGTGAGGTGCGGGGACCAGCATGGCATGCAGTACTGGGGATTGAAGCCAGGTCCTTACCTTGCCAAGCAGGCACTTAGTCTGCTGAACTGTGTCCCCAGCCCGAGAAAAGCGTTTTAAATGGTTTAAAATATTATAAACCAAGTCATTTTATCTATAAAAGTATGTTATAGTTTTTGAAAACAAAGGATGTTCTACTCTTAACTCATCCTCATTAGTAAGAACTCTTGGTATTACTCTCTGTTCCTTACAAATTGTAATGGTGTTTTTAAAGTGTGAAAATATCATATATTGTTTTTCTAGAAATAGAAAACATGACCTGTTTTAGCTTGCATACATTTTTCTTAGAAGTTTCTAGCATCATGTATAAAAACTATTTGTATTCCTTTTCTTTATACTTCTTTTTTTCTGTCACATTTGTCAAATTTAAGACAGAAATAAGTGGTAGCAAATGTTACCAGAGTTAAAATAGCACCCATTCTACCAAGTAGTGATATTTTGTAGTCCAGAAAAGCTGACAAATTAGGTGCTATGGTAGAGTTCAGTTTGAACAAATGAAAATAATTTATCAGAAAAACACAATCAAACACTGAATCACCGTAGTTTTTTAAGATGAGGAGATCAGTCAAAAGTTCTAAGAGTAACTTGAGTTTAAGAGCATGATTGTGGATGTTTAATAATTAAGTAGTACATTCATTCTGAAAGATTTATAGCCCTCATTATGAATTTTGCTAACATAAGAACTTATCAACTATGAAACCTAACCCAACTTGTTAAAAAGGAAAAACAACTTACATCTCTTAAAAATTAGAAGCAGAAAAATAGCCAATGTGATGCAAACATTGAAGCATACTGCCTCAAGAAAATATGTGCATTTTTGGGGATTCATTTTATACTCTCAGTGACATAGCACAATTTTAATATATAGTTGAAATATTTTAAAGTCATGTATATCTCACTGATTTTAGACACATAGTACTTGTGATACAATATTGAGCATATTTGTTAATATTCTGGGTACTTTTTAGCAAATAGTTAAGGAAATTGATTAATATTCTTACAATGGGAGCCATTAACACTATAAGAATTAAATGAAATGATTGTAATGAGAATGATGACATAGAAGCTAGTAATAAGAAAGCTACGGAAGTACATGTTCTAGGTAGGAATATTTATTTACCTTGCTTCATTTTTATCAGTTGACCTGTATTTCTTTCATTGGAACCTTGTGTGTAGAGGAAACATTGAAATGGATACTTAAAATTAATATAGAACATTAAAATTTAGATTTATGAATAGTTTCTTACCAATCAGTAATAGCTGGTATTTACTGAAATTGGCTTGCCATTTTATTCTTGTCATACCATTTATCTTTGCTGTCACTTTACATTTTAAAAGAAATCGTCTTCATCAGCAGTTTGAGATTATGAAGTTTAAGGCAAACTGAAAAACATGGATTTTAAAAATGAACAAATAGATACCATGAAGTTATTAATAATGGGTAACTAAAGCCCTCTGCATAAATGAGCAGCTTTCTAATATATAACTTTACTGGGTTTTTTGTTTTATTTTCTTTTGAGAAAGGGTTTCAGGTAGTGCAGGCTGTCCTTCCTGTGTAGCAATTGTTGGCCTCAAACTTGGAATCATATTGGCTCAAGCTTCTGGGTGCTAGGGTTACAGAAATTTACTGCCATGCATGGCTTTACATATTTTTTTAATTGTTTCCCTCAACTTTAACTACTTAAATAGTAAAATATGAAGCCAAATGTACAGCTACCACAGGATTAAATCCTATTTGTAATATATTTGACAATTTTATGTATAAAATATGCCTATTTTTGGACTATACTGTTTCTATTTGGAGTTATTTTCATCTGTTTGTAATTATTTTATTCATTTAGGTTATTTCCAAGTTGAAAATCTTGGGCAGATCAGTAACAGCTGGTTCCAAGTTTGACAGAGAAATTTGGTCTAATGAACTTTCTCCTGTCCTCAGTCTCTGGAAGAAACTAAACCAGGTTAGTAGTGAATATTCTCCACATATTTTTAAATAACCTTTATGTTAGTGTTCTAAATCTATGTTCTGCTCTTCTGCTGGAGTCCTATTGTTACCAGATTCTGAGGTTCCATAGACTCTTCTCACCTCCTCAGTGTTCTAAACAAACAACTGAACAACATCCATGAGAAGAGTAGCCGGGTTTTACACTTAGTAAAGGTAAGGGGACAAGTATGTCCTGCAGAGTGAGAATGGCCCACTGGGAGAGTTTACAGCGACCAGGAGGTTAACGGGTGGGGGGTGTTCTTTTGTACCCCTCGTGTTTCAGGTTGATGTCAGATCTAAGATGTTTTATTGAAAACCAGCTTGATTTCTCACCAGCAAAATTGAAGACAGGACTTTCTGATTGGCCCCAGGTGCTGGGTATGGGAGCTGTATTCTGCACATGTAACCCGAATCTCCACGATGGGCAGGTCACACACACTTGCTCAGCTGATGGGCCACATCCAAATATCGTGCCTCCCCGCAACCAAAAGAAGACATAAATCCCCAAAGTTCTTTATGGAATATTGAGGGTGGGGAGGTTTCTGTCTTCATATAGTGACTTCTGCCTGAAAGGGGCTGTAGGCCTGCCTAGGGGGGCATTCTGTACTCTCCAACTATCTTGGGGTGCTGGGGCTCCCAGGCTCAGTTAGAAACATCCATCAAGACAATGAGGAAAGTAGTAGTATCTGTATGTGAAAGACTGCCGAGCAGCCTGGTTGGCAGAGGAAAGCATGGTGAGCTTGCCAGGGGAGGCGCGGGCTCGAGTCTGGATTCCATGTCAAGTCATGAATGGATAAACTGCACCGTTAGGTTGGGGCTGCAGAAGCCAAACATGGGAAGAAGCAGACTGGAGTCTTTCCTGGTCTGTCTTAAAAGGTGGGCTATGATGGATCTAGCAGTTACAAACATTATTTTCTGTATTATTATTGGTGACAAATTTTCTAGGTTTTGTTGTAATGCTTCCTGTGGGGGATGAAGCATGACAGAGAGGGATATTAGGTAAACTGCAAGGAGCCTGAGTGTTAGCAAGATCGTCCACGTTATGGACCCAACTCAGCGCATGAGTCCCAACACAGGTGCCCATTTACTCTGTGGTAGATTACGGGTCATTAATGACTCACTTACATGAACCTGGAGTGGTGTTGGAGCCCTGATTTTTGAAGAAGGACCTCGGGTCTTCTAGAGCCTTGAAGGCGTACCTTGTTTCTTTCAGGTGGTCTTTTTCCTCAGTTCAGGTGGGGCTGACTTTAGAAAGGTGAACTTAGCTATTTGTCTTTGCTGCCTTTACTGCAGTGAGTTAACACTTTCGTATTGGCCCAGATTAATAAGGTGTTTTTAAGTGTTGTGGTCTCTGGGTCCACTACCATATCAGATTATAAAGGTCTCCTATATCTCTCAAATGGACTCAGATATGGCCCAGTTTCTTGGGGTATTCTGAATCTTCATAAGAGCCATTGGGCAGCAATCAAAGTCAAGACTCAGAAGTCTCTTAGTTAGGTTTTGCTAAAGTTCACTTTAGGATGTTTGGCTCTTTAGATCCTCATTAAAGACTGAGGTCTCCATTCAGATTAGAGATGATACTTTGTTCCTAAATCCTTTGTCAGAATTAGGGAACTGTCCCATTTTTACTGGTAAATCTCTTCCTAGTAAGGGAATAGGATACTGTGGAATAATTAAAAATTTATGTGTGAATGTTATGGTTTGTGTCTAGGTGTCCCCCCAAAGCCTCATGCAGTCTTGAGGTGGCTTCTGGAGTTTGTGATTGATTACTGTGGAAGCCTCATGCAGTCTTGGGGTGGCTTCTGGAGTTTGTGATTGATTACTGTGGGTGTGGATGCTGCCCCTGCCCTGGGGCATGTAATTTGCTTTACAATGTAAGGTGGGAAGAGAAGCTAGCTGCTTGAGCTGCTGCTCCCCTCCCTTGTGCTCTTGCTCTTTTCTGCCGCCATGAAAGGTTGCCCTCTGCCATGTGCTGCTTTGCCTTGGAGCCAGCTGAGTATGGACTGAAACCTCCAGTAACTGTGAGCTAAATAAACCTTTCCTTCCTTCATTTTGAGTGTCGGGTATTTGTCCCAGCAACGAGAGAAGAGTAACTGAGACAGTGAACATTTGATCTTGGAATTGACATGTCAGAGCAAATGTGAAAATGTTCTGACCAGGGCTCCCCTCAACCCATCTGTGATTCTAAAGATCTTAGAAAAGGATTTCCAAGAGTAGTTAAAGCACAGTAGGCTGCTTTTGTATCCATAAGGAATTGAATAGTTATTCATGATGTCTAAGGTCACCCAGGGTTCCTTGAAAGAGCTGGAAAATCTGTGGACAAGGACATCGCAGATGTTCTACAGCTCTTCAGTCTCCTTCATCATAAATGAGAGTCTTGGCTGGCCTACTGCCTCTCTGGGAGTTGGAACAGTCAGTCTTCAGGGCCAGGATTACATACATCAGCCACTTTGACACAGCAGGGCCTGGCTGGTGACATGGTGCAGTCGTGTGCCCATTGCCTAGTTGCTTGGCACTTAAAGCAGGAGCTTATTGCCTTAGGTTTTCCCTTGGATGATTTGGGTGTGCTTGACAAATTTCCGCCAGTTTGAACTATCAGTGTTGCATGAACAGTAAGCCCCTTAGGTGGCATGTACCATTGAGTGGTACAAGCTGCCTGACAATGGCACATATGAATTATGGTCCCATTGTGAACATGTTAAAGCACAGAGATCCAGGCCTCAACCCCTATAGACATGGTCCGGAGCAGTGCAGCCCAGGTGGCAGATGGTCACCCCACTGCTGACTCCGATGTGTCCCGAACCCACAGGGTAGACTGTTCTGGAGAAAATAAGAAGTCTTCCTGTGTCCACCAATTTTTTCTCACCTCCCCCAAGCTTCTTATCTCCTAGCTGGGTTTGACAAGGAATATGCTTCTGGATTCTGGGGTTCTGTAGACCCTTACCACGTCCTTGGTGTCCCAGAAAAAGAATTGGGTAAGACACGAGAAAAAGATAGTAAAGTGTTACATTTACTAAGGTAAGAAAAGAAGTATGCTCTATGGAGTGAGGGTGGGCCAGTTACAGGTAGGAGAAGTGCTGTACCATCAGCAGAGCGAGAGCAGCCACAAAGAGCTCCCAGCAGCCACGAGCTTAACAGCAGAGGTCTTCTGTGGCCTTCATTCTTCAGGCTGATGTCAGACCTTCGACTGTCCTACCCACAATCTGCTTGATTCTCTCCAGCAGAACTGAAGATAGCACTTTCAGATTGGCCTAGGCCCGGCTTGGGAATCCTGTTCTGTTCCTGAGTCCTGAATCTCTGTGACTGACAGACAGGTCGCCACCCCTTGCTCAGCTGGTTGGCCATGCCTCAAGCCCCTGCCATAGTACAGGGGATCGTACCGAAATCATGGTCTTTCTCTGACTTCCACAACAGAAAGAAAGGGTTTGCAAGACATGTCAGTAAGCATGAGGTTCATGAGGCAGAATTTAAAAGTACACAGTTAGAGAAAAATAGAGTAGGTCCTCAAGAGAGAGAGGCTTATTTGGTCTCAAGCTGGGTAAGTGTGAGCGACTCCCCTAGGAATGGAATGAATTTCCCCCTACCGTCTGCATTATAGAACTTTTTCATACAATTATGTTAACGTAGGTCAGAATCATTCATTATAAAGCCATATTAGACAGCTAATAAGTTTGTGAAATAAAACAGAAATAAGGTATTTTTACCGTTAACTCAGAGCTTACAAAACTCCACTGGCTGGTTTAAAATTCTAGCTCTGCCACCTCCAAATATGATTCTGTAAATTTTATTTAATTTTTCTTTTCCTACTTATATACTCTGAGAAATGGCAAAAAGAATTACTATTATGATTATCTAGATTAGTTAACACCTGTAAAACACATAAACTGTACATAAGTTAAATGCCTATAAATATTAGCTATTAATACATATTTTAAAAGTAATTTTAGGTTAGAATTTCCCTAGAATCTCTCTCTGATCAGGAAATTTGGTATCATTTTGATAACTAAATCTATAAGAGTAGCATAATTTTGCTAGAATTCATCATAAAGATATAATTAACAAAGAGGCTTATTCTAATTAGGTGAAAATATAAATCTATGGAGAAATGAGCTTAGATTAATATAGTGTTGGTCATTCAAAATTGTAATTCAATTGCATGTTAAGGAACTTTTCAATGACTGCCAATGAAATCTCTTTAATGACATTTCTAAGATTGATAATAATCATCCCAGTACTTTTAGTGAATGATTAGTATGAGTTCTAGATAAACTCTATTAACTTTAAGTGTTTTTCTAGTGTGTTTCAAATGTCTGATATTTCATTGTATCTTCCTTTGTGTCTGAGTGTGGGTATGTATGAACTATCAGATTTGACTTCTTGAGCATGTGATTTATGATGGCACTGGCAGTTATTGTTAGAATACCTGTTAGTCTCATCATTTTTCCACTAACTCAGTACACTCTGAAAGAACATTTCACAGAAGTTCTTAATATGTCATTTTGAGAAGATTTTAAAATCAGTTTCATAAGCCAAAAAGAGCTAGGACAGAGGGCAGTTAGTACAATAAATAAAATAGCAAATCAGCTTATTATCCTTTTTTAGAAAACAGTTAATGGTAACCAAATGTCATTTCACTAATTATTTTGTTCATTATTGTAACTAAATTTAATTAAAAATATCATTTCTGACAATATTTTGGCAAACTAGGCTATCAATAGAGGCTATCAATAGTTTACTTTCTCATATTTTTAAAATTTTATTTCCATAAATATTGTACATATTAATGGGGGGAATGCAATGTTTTAATACATGTATGGGTTGTGTAATGTTTAAGTCAGAGTGAACATTTAAACTGGCCAAAGAGCTCAGCAGATTAAAATGCTTGCAAACAGGCACAGGGACTGCGGGTTTGATCCCAAGGCCTGCCGTGCTAGCCCTCCCCCTGGGGTGCGCTGAGAAAACAATTACCATACTGTC